CNGCTTGCCCAATCTCGTCAGAAACATCATCATAAAACCTATCCTTCTCCTCTTCCTTCCTACTTTGTTGCGGAGCATATCCTGATATCACCCTCACTATTACTTTTCCAAACACCATCACCACCACAATTACCCCATTGCTTCTCCGCCTCACTTCCAACACCTTCTCCACCAACTCTTCTCTTACCATCACATTAACTCCTCCCGTACCATCATCCCCCTTCCACCACAACTTATATCTTCCACCTTTAGCCCCCACAAACCTTGTACCCTCACCCTTCCATCTGACCTCCTGTAATGCAGCCACGTCAACCATTCTCCTCTGCAGCTCCTCCACCACTTCCAAACTTCTTCCTGTCAACGTGCCTACATTCCAGGTACCAAACCTCCAACCCCTTGGTCTACAAGTAGTCCTTCCATCTATAGTGCCTTGCACCGCCACACTATAGAGTGGGGTGCCAGTAGCCAGACCATCCACAGGGCCTTGCACCACAACCCCATCGACTGGGTCTCCGGAGATTCTTCGCACCCTCTTCTGCCGGATACTGAGGGCCATTGTTTTTTCCGTCATCATCATAAGCATTTATTATTTGGCTAGTTTTTACACAGGACGCCCTTCCTTACGCAACCACAGTTATAAGCGGTGGGCCTAGCCTTTGATGATCCAACATCACTCACAAGGCAGTGAGGGTCAGTTTAATGTCATAACCAGAACAAGACTATATACAATAATATGGATATATTCGGAATCAGTAAAAATTTACTTCAACTCACAACAGCCCAATTAAACAATGTAAAAAAAAAAACAAAGCGAAAACAAAATTAATAAAATCAAAAAACGGCAGTCATACTTTTGTCACTGGTTATATACAATCAATCCAATCAATTGGTCAGCCAGTCAGTCAATCCAATCAATTAATCCATTGGAGGATGGATTGTACGGCATTGTTTTTAACTTTTCGATTCCCAAAGTTTGTAAAAGCGTGTTAAACAGTTCGCTTTCAAATTTCCTACCTTGATCTGTAAGTATCTGCAACGACATTCCAAACCTTGAAACATTTTCCGAGGTTAAGATTTTAGAAACTGTAACTACTGTGTACTTCCATAACGGAAATACCACTTTCTTGATTTAAGATGAGGATTGGTAAGATCCAGAGCTACCCTTTCCAATGCCATGCCTGACAACATTATTTTCATTTTTGCTCGCCATGGTGACTCACCCTGGTAGTATCGACTGCATTTTTCACGCGTCCTGACAAACATTGGTTTTCCATGTTGGCCAGTAAAACCTTCGTTGGACGGATTCTTTCAGTTTAAGTCTACGTCTAAATGTCCAACTGTCATGCATTTATTAGAAATTAATAAAACTGAATTATCATGTTTGCGGGCACCAAGGCTTGCCAAATTGCGTCTCCAGATTCTGCTATTTCGAATCGCCTACATAGCACTCTTGATGCCCATTTATCAATCCATTTTTTTTACATAATTCAACAGAAGCCGTGTTGTTCTATGTTTTTTAAATTGTAAGTAGCCGTTGGTAAACAAAATTGGCATTCTGAAATGAGTTTGGTGTTTGATTACTTAGAATTTTTAGATTTGTTCAAAATTTTGGTTTTTCTGGTGCGTTTTTGGTGATTCAGTTGTTGTTCGGTTGATCGGTCTCGGCAGTTTTTGTTTGCAAGAAAACTGTCTGATGTCAATATAGTTTTGTCAGGTGCTTTCCAACGTTCAATTCTTGGCCATATCTTATTTTTAATGTATATAACCGAAATTTTTGATGTAGTTCAGTTATTGGGATTTTTAAATTATGCATTCCTGGATGACATTCATATAAAGACTTTTAGCAAATTAGTTTTTTCTGACCTAACTTGACAAGCATCAAAGATTGGTGTTTAAATGAATGAAAATGGTTTAAAGTTGAACCATGACAAAACATAGCAAAATTAAAAATTAACTTGTTTTCTATTTAAAATGATATAATAGAATATTATGATAAGGCGAAAAATTGAAGATTTCTTTTTTGATAAAAAAAAATCTAAGTTGTTTGAAATAAGTACCACAACTTGATTGACAATGTTTTTGTTATATGTAGTAACTGTAAAATCGAAATTCAAACACTGTAACAACTTCAATGCACAATCCTTTTATTCGCGCAACGCGTTTCGAGTCTTGCTCTCATCAGGCGATCTTTAAGGTGTACAATAATTATATTATTAATATTGTTACAGTAATAAATCAAAGTTAAATAATAAGTACAATAATATGTTACTAATTACTACAATTCTAATTGCTATGTTGCTAGTTAATACGTTTCTAGTTACTATGTTACAAATAATCATATGTTGATAAATAATAAGTTTCAAATAATCCATACATTAAACCAATAATCAATATCAGGTATACAATAAAACCAGTAATCAATATCAGTTATACAAATTTAGTCATCCATTCATTCATATGGTTATTATTATAACACACTCATACTAAAGAACCATTAGTGACAATAATAAAAACAACATCCTACGTTAAGTAGAATTAAAAGGTCAATCTAATAAAATTATTATTCCCTTCTATCCCTTTAATAATCCTAACCTTGTTATATAAGAATAATAATATCCATATTACCAACTAATCAAAAATCAAAAATTCATTTATTTAAATCCGAAACACAAAATGAAAATAAAAGAAAGGATTTGAGATTGTGAGGATTTACGGAGATCCCATAAGAAAATCAAAACTTGTACAGACCACCGTGATACGATATGCAATTTAAAAACAAAATCACGTTTGAATACATACACTGATGTACTAAAAGTAATAGATTTATGGATCTTCGTTTTTCTACATATATAAACACATAAGTATGCATGAATATATATACTGATGTAATAAAAGCAATAGATATATAAATGTTCATCTTAGTACATATATAAACACATAAGCACATATGAATACATATACTGAAGTAATCAAAATAATAGATATATAAATGTTCAGCTCTGTACTTATATAAAACTCGCAAGCATTATTTTAGCATATATGAATGAATACATATACCAATGTCATATATAAATACATACGCACATATGTATATATATATATATACTGATGTAATCAGTATGCATGAATATATATAAACACATAAGATATATAAATGATTCGTTTCCATACATATAAAAACCCATAGTCATATTGACATTATTGCATACAATACAAATACAAATTGCATAAATCATCCTTTAAAGTGTCCAACTTAAAATTGTAGCAACTGTTAAGAAACACTGGGCAACATATTATTAAGTAAATTTAGATCAGCCATGATTAACAGAATTGTTGTCCTTGGTTTTAAAAATCCAGTCTCTGACAATAGCATGACGAGGCCATATATCTGAGTTGAAAAATTTATCTTTCTGACTTTCCAGTATACAGATTCTGAAAGCAGAGCTTAAAACAGATGACTTTTCAGAAGATTGATCAGAAGTTTTCATTGTACCATTAGGATCAACAGTAATATTAGAGGAATTATCACAAAGTTTCTTTGAATTCTCAGAAACTTTAGTGGATAGATTAGAAATTTTCTTTGAACCAGTAGGATTGACAGTAATAAAGTCTATGTTAAAGTTAGATAGATGTTCTTCAACATCCTCTTTGGAGCAAGGAGCAATCTTTCCCAGATAAAGCACACAGCGCTTCTCAATACCTTTTAATTTGGAACTGAAAATCTCAGAGTCAGCCAAGGTTCCAACCACTCTGGAGATATTAGTTTTTTTATGTTTAATTTTATTAGCCTGAGGTAAACAATTAACTTGGGGTCGTTTAGTACCTCTACGTCTGATTGTGACATTTTGAAACCCAGCATCACTATCCTCAGCACCAGAGTTCATATTATTATTATTATTGGAATCTTGAATTAAACTAGGAAATTCAATTTTATCAACATGAGAAACAGAATCTAGATTTGAGTTTTTTTCAATTTTAACATCTTTATCTGAATTGGATAACTGAGAAATAGGAATGCCCACCCAGGGTTTAGAAACAGATGTTTTTTGTAAACTGATCTCAGATTCACTAGGAGTTGAACATTTTTTCATTTTAGAAGGAGCCCACACAGAATTATTAAAAGGTAATTTGTTTATTTTTTCATTCAGTGTAGATATTTTGATGCTGTGAACATCAAGTCTTTGCAACATTTTATTCTGTTGTGTAGAAATCATGTCCTTTATCTCTTCCCTCAAACTATTGAAATTTAATTTAATAACGTTTTCAAAATGAGGAATTTTAGTCAAATTTACACTTGCAAACATGGGACATTTATCCAGACAATTCTCAACTTTTAAATGGTTAAGAACTGTAATACAAGCAATTAATTTATCACGCCTATGCAGACAGCGTGAAAAAAATTTATCATCAAATTTATCAATTTTTAAATTATCCAATTCAATTTTCAGTAGTTTTAAAGCAATAGCTAAATCGTCATTAGAATAAAACTCCGATACATTGCAAATAAATGTTTCACTATTAAAATGTAAAAAATTGTTCGACAAAAAATAGAGAACTTCGCTCACAACAACCGTTCGTGTCGCCATTTTTCCACATTCGTTATTCACATTTTCTTTACAATTTTCTTTACCGACATTTTTATCAGCAGGAGCGTCATTTCTGGACGTCATGTTACCTGGCGGAAACTTGACCCCCGGGTCGTGCTACCAAAGCAGCAACACACAATTAAAAGGAGAAACTAATATTAAATTATTTCCTTATAATTCAACAAAATTAAACTGAAACAAATTAGAAAAAAATTAAATTTAAATGAAGAGCAAATTAGCCTTGTAATCACCTATTACCGCTCACCCTAGATTTGAACTAATTCATTAAATCATCGAGTAGCTTATAATCATATACAATTCCCTTTAATTATTCATCAAAATATTCCTAATTTCATTTATAGTAACCAAATCTATCAAAAAAATATCAGAATCAATAATATATCCAAATATAGTTAGGGTTAGGTAACCCTAAATCACTAAAATCCATCAAATTATTAATATTAATAAAATTTTCAGATATAAAACATTTATCCAACCAAAATATCATATATCCTTATCCTATTAATCTATATATACCCAATTAAACATTTATAACAATAAAATTCCATCATACATCAAATTAGGGTTAGGGTTAAATAATCCTAAAATCAAATAAGTCATATATCCAATGATCAAATCAATTAAAATCATAAATCTCTATAATAAATATATATATTCAAAATAAGATAATAATATCAATTATATTCATCATAAATTCCAAACAGTAATGATATCAGCAATATTTCCAAATTAGGATTAGAGTTCAACAATCTTAGCCTATATTAATTCATATATTTCGTATTAAAATCTTTAATATCACCAATAATACATCATCTATATTTAAATTCTAATAATAATACTGATTTTATTCATCCTAAATCACAGTTAATAATAATGTCATCACCAGTATTATCAAATTAGGGTTAAAAGCACATAACCTAGAATCATTTAAATCCTATTTTAAATAATCAAATAATCACAAATACAATATAAACTTATACTTATGTTATAATATATAATATTTTTTTACGAAAAGCATTTTTACGTTGATTAGATGATAGATCTCCTGGTGGTTTTCTAAAAAAGCTGATTCCGTCATTGGATCATAATTGTGCCAGACCTCACATTGGAAAATTTGTTAAAAGTTTGACTGTCCATCCAAACAAAAATTTTCTTGTTCGTATATTAGTTGTTTATTAAAACATATTAAAAATTTGTTAATAACTAAGATTTTATCATAAGTTTGAATAAACTTTGTTTAAATGCAACACAAATTTGGAAACAGGAATTCATTCACTGTAATGACATTGGATATTAACAGCTAATAAGTTAAGGCTTAAAAGAGATCAAAAATTCTGTCAATGGCATTGCCATTTATGGGAGTCCCTTTTTGAATCTGGAATGACTTAACCTGCAATTCATTTTTGGATTTAATTCAACCTGTTTTTCCTATGTTATCTTCCAGTCTATTTTATGCGTCCCATTTTTTGTAATTTATTTAGTTTTACGTTTAAAAAAAATAATTCTTGACACTTTTTTTGCATCTATATTTTGAGCATTTTATTCAAAAATCAGTTTTACATTTTTGTTGCTTTGTTCTTCCTTCCTCGTCTAAGCTCACTCAATTTTTTTTGTCAAACTCCAAAAGACAGTATTGAAGCGACAGAGTTGTAGACAGAATTACAGAAGTTGTATAACTCTGGAATCGAGGACTTTACGCATTTCAACATATGATCACGTCTTTCTGATTTAAAAGCGTTTGAAAATTTTAATTCGTTCAGGTGATCTGCAAATCCAGCAGCCACACCAGGATGGGTGGTTGTTAGTAGTGCAGCAGAAAAAGCAGTACATTTGGTTAGTTTGATGTAAGATCATCAAGTGTGGATTCAATCGCAAGTTGTGGAAATTTGTTCCGCTAAATTTTGATCTTTTGCATTGACAAATTTTTAGATTTGACAATCAATCTTCGTTTAGCGTCCAAAGACCCAGTTCCCCGAGGTAGGACGTTGTTTTCTTTGCCATCAACTTTTTGCGCCAAATTAGACGATCAGTTGTATCCATTTCATTTAAATTTAGAGCTTTCATGTCTTGCTCGATTGTTTGCGACCAGGACTTCTTTGGACAGCCTTTGGGACGTGTGCCAGGTACTTCAACATCTGCAAGAGAAGTTATGGCACTGTTTCCACTTCGTTTGACATGACCAAACCACCGCAGACGGTGTTGCCGGCATTCGTCCTTTATATCATCTAAACCAGCACGACGCAGGATTTCGGTAGATTTGATGTGGTCCTTCAGACTAATTCGTTGCATCCATCGGAGCATTTTCATGTCAGTTCGGTGAAGTTGTTGTTCCAGTTTGGTTGTCATTGGCCATGTTTCTGCACCATATAACAACACCGGACGTATCACAGATTTATAAAGTCTTGATCGTAGTGGTAGTGGGATGTCACGCCGCATCAATATAGAGGCAAGGAGATGCCATTTATTCCAGGCTGCACGTATG